GGGGCTTTCGCATGTCTGCATAATGTTTGACACAGGTGCGCGCGCGAGTTCGCCCCGGCTGGTAGGGACTGGTATAAGTACCACAAGAGAATGCTCCTTGTACGCTCGTATACCCATCTACACACGTAGGTACTGTATAGTGATGAGCTACTCGAGACTCAAACAGGTGCACACTCGTTTAGCAGCGCGCGAGCCAACTGCGAAACTTCGGTCGAGCGCGATGCATTATCGCACTCGTTGTGCGATAAAATGGATTTTTCTCAATTCTCGTCAACAGCGAGAGCTCTTCAAATTTCAGAGCTGGATAAAGACGAATGAACTTTTTAACTGCTGTCAAATAAAAATTTTTCGCAATTTACATTCGAACAATGGATCATTGGTATAAAAATAATTTCTATTCGGTCCACGATTGGCTCATTATAAGAGCATTATTCAGCAATTGATGTTACGTTAATTTATAGTTCGACACATGCGTTACAGTTTACGATTAATGAGTCAATCAACCGTAAACAAATCTATAATCGATCAACTATTGTAAATTGCGGTATAATCTAATTTTAGAATTGCTAATTTTGCATTTAACAAAATTTTACATTCATAGTTTATATTGTTTGATCGCGAACGATAAGGCTCACTGTGCAAGGATAATCGGTAAAACGTAAGCATCCGTTAAACTATCCGTGTTAAACCTGCTTTTCGCAGCAACAGATTCTTTTCGCGAGGACGTCCTACGCGATGAAGTTGCAATTTTGCGCATTACACGAAACTAAGTGAAACTGGAGCACAAGCGAGTCGGCTGTAAACTACGATTAAAGTTCGAAACGCGCCGTGCCGTACCGGCGTTATCAGTAGCGCCATTCGTAACAACATATCCTCCCTTCGTCCTACATTTTCCGATGATAAAACCTGCCCGTATTATTTCCTATATCGGCCACTATCTCGCGACGACAACCTATGATGCTTCTCAAGAAATGTAACTTTCGCTAAGTCCTCGCGGCGACGCTCTTAACTTTTTCAATCACAAAACTAAAATCATGTAATAAAAAATTGGCACTGCGCATAATAAAATTAAGTTTTTCTATTCTTCAAGAATAGTAAGAAACAATTCAAACATGTATTATAAGCAGGGCTCGAAGTAACTCGTTACTTGTAACGAAGTTACAGTTACGGTTATTTTTTTTTAACTTTAACTTAACGTCGTTACTTTCTCTCCATCTGTAACTGTAACTTCACTTAGTTCCGTTAATAATTACTTTATATATTTTTTAAACCTCCACAAATTGCATTAGGTCTTGCATTTGCGCATGAACGCCTTTATCGACACTTTACCATTCAAATGCAGATATTTGACATTTTTATTCTCATTGCAAGAAAGTAACTGTAAAGTACTTTTCAGAATTGGAAACTTATAACCGTAACCAGTTACATCCTTAGCGAAAAATTTGTAACTAGATATTTTTATTAAGTAACTTTCCCAACCCTGATTATAACTCTATTGATATTGTAAAATGTTATCAATAGTAATATTTATCTGTTATTTCTATCAATGCCGCAATATCTCTGTCTATTCTTATGTACTACCGAAGACTTTCAAATTAAATCTCTCTCTCTCTCTCTCTCTCTCTCTGCAAATGCGTTCGTCTCTGACAAGTAAAGGCGTTTGTCGTAGAGGAAATCACGTGGGAAATGGTTAACTCGCGCTAACCCGCAATTCCTAACCAGCAGGCTTCAAATTTCGCCTGGTTCTCTCGCGCGAACGATTTATACGGAGCAACGAAGCATGCACACATCCGTTCATCACGATTCCCCTCGTCGTTCTCCTGAGCATTGATTCTGTTGCGGCAATCAAGAGAGACCGGCCAGCGCCGTTAGAAAGGAGACAGAACGAGACAGAGGCCGGCTCGTCGGATTGGAATCCAGCGGCTCGTGTAACTCCGATGGAATCGAAAGGTAGTCGTTCGGAAGGAAATCGCGGACTCTCCTCCGCATCCGCATCCCCCATCCCACCCGTCCGCCTTCTTTCTAGTTTAAACTTTTCCTTTCCGCTTCGTTTGTTCCCCTTGGCTTCCTATTCAGGCGACTATCCGGCAATGAACGGTCTTCTCGCTGCGTCTGATACTGACCGGCATTTTCCACTTCGCGATTATCGTCCAGCTTCCCTCCTTGTTATCTCGGATTACGCTTCGCCGCCGCACACGTTGCATTCGCAACAATGGCATCCAATTAACGATATGTTGAGTCACAAATTATTGATGTTAACGATTCATTAACGACAGATAGAAACAAATGTATCGCCAGTTAATCCGACTTAACTATAAAGATTTAAGAGAAAGTGCAAAAATAGATAAATTTTCATTCGACTGTCTATTTTTTAACTTTAATCTTGGAAAATTATTTTGTCCCCTGTTTCGCGAGTGCTTTAAGGATATCTGTTTTACAAAATACATTCAAATTCTTTGCTTTTCTTAAAGCGTCCCTATTTGGTGTCGTAACTTTCTTTTTAAGTTCATCCATTATTTCCGACTTTGTGTTCGCTTTCGAGATATCGTACGGCAATCAAACGTTTTGTCTCTCATAAATGCTCGCGTGCTTGTCGCCGAGCAGTCGCGTGTGCGGACGGAGTATCGCGGGCGCGATTTAATCTTTGCACGCGCCCGCGAGTCGCTCCCGTCGTAATTCTAAACGGGGCGCCGGTGCTATTATGCGCAACGATGCCTCAACTGTTGCACGCGAAGGATTAATTTCACGTGCCGGCGCGGAGATCTTGTTTGCAATTTCTTGCCCCGCGGGTATTAATACAGGGCGAAATCTCCGGGCCTGAAATTTCTCCCCCGACCCAATTCGCCTTGTGTACATACCAGCCGCGTGATCCCGCGGGAGATCTAAAGTTCCAGTCATTTCTTGCCCGGCAGGGCAGGTCACTGAGATGATCAATGCGTTTCTATCTATCGTTTCCTCCAAAAGTCTCACGATCGATATCAATCGTACCATTAATTCGCCGCGTGTTGAAAGGGTGAACCCGAAAGCTCCAGGAGCTGACCAAAGCGTTACAAATGATCGTCCTTCATTAATGTTTCAGTTAACCGATGCAAAAATTACGTAAAAATACTGTTTTCAGCTAAATGCTTAGCGGGCTTAATCGGATAATGTAAATTGCCAGTATTGTACATAAATATACGATATCGCCAATTAGCTTTTCCAATACCGATGTATAAATTACTGACAATTTCAGAAGTATATAGTTTAATTAATTTTAATGCATATTAATAATACCAAAATCTGGTTTATAATAACTAAATTATTTGGTGATAATAAAATGACAATGCGCGAGTTCGTCGGGCGACGGAACTTGGATTGGATTTGAATGAAGCCGTAAAACATAATGGAGAACCTCTCAAGTTACACGTGAAAGAAAATTTCCCCGTGGGAATCGTATTCTTGCATTACCGATGTTAATTCAAGCGAATCTTATACGAATAGCCGCATTTCTGCTCTGATGGATTTGAAATACCGGCGCCGCTCTGGTATTTGACCCTACGGCTCTTCGCGAGTCCTATTGCTATTACTACACTCCCTTTACACCACCGCTCGCATCAGTGCGAGCTTCATCGTGTAAGCGCAAGGTCATACCTTGAGAGAAGTTACGGTATAATACTCCGAGCCACTTTCCAGTCCATGCGAAACTTTCGGTGAATTTAGCGGACCGAAATTAATTAACGGAAGACAATGTTCACCTGCGACCACCAAATTGGCTCGCTCCGCTTGCAGTTACGAAAATTCGACGACAAATTCACTGTTGCACGGTAATCATCGAACTCGGAAGCGGCCATCAGTGAGCATAAATTGATAATACAATCCTGCTTAATTGACGTTACGAACAATTGTTTATTGCGACTCCTGTATTTTTAAATTGCATATTTCTATTTTCTGCTTCTTCAATTTATAGATTAAAGAGCAAGTCAAATGTTGTATTAAAATTTTTCGTTATATCGCTTAATGGTTGTTAATTCCTACATTGTGTATTTATTTCCTGGTAGATATTCAACAAAATTTGCAGTAATAGTCCGTGATAGCGAGACAACAGCTTGGTTAAATTGACTTTAATGGCAACGTACGATTTTCCGCGTCTACATAGACGTAGAATTTAGTTTATCATATGATCGACATAGAATAATTTATTCTATCGATTATCCGCTTGAATGGCATAGCCGGCGCGTTTGAACGACACGCTGGAACTCGGTTAAAATCGGCGACGTCGTAGCAAAAATTTTTAATGCACAAACTGTCGGGCACGGGCGGCGCGGAAATCCATTAAAATCTTCGAACGTTCAAAATGACGATGTAACTGTATTTCTAGACAAGACGTTGTGAAAGTTCTTCCACTATTAATATTTCCGTAAAGCTATTACTTCCTTCGAAAAATTCATTACTTTTAGAAACCACTTTGCCTTTCTATAGGATTGCACGTGATACAGCACTGAAAACAAATTTTGCTACCGCAGCTAATCAGGATTTGATAAAACTATTTTGCTGCTATAAGTAAATTTCTAAATCACAGCAAACTATTAGCTATCACAACTAAATATTAGCTGTCCATACTTTACAACTGAAATTTAGTTACCACATGCAGTTTTTAGCTACGGCGGCTACATTTTTTTCCGTAAAATTGTCTTCGCAAAAATAGGAAACAAATGCACGCGGTTTTTCTAAGCCGTTTGCATCCTGGCATATAAGAAATTAAAATAAATCTGCAAAGAAACCGACACATGTCGCGCGCGCGCACGTTTTGTCTTCGCATCACCGGATCGAACTTTTTTAATATAAAATCGATAAATAATATTATAATTAAACAAATAATTATGAAACAAATTTAACTTATTAATTGTATGAAATTCACACTTTTTACTGCGGTCCTTCAATTTAGATCCTGCGATCTAACGTTGATTGTTCTTTGGGAAAGTCTCACGTTTTGTCTGATAATGACACAATGATGGACTCACCTTGACCCAGGTTTCGTGTTTGAGTCCCACCGGTCCCCGAAACAGACTCCTCTTTCTCGCGCGCGCCCGTTTTACAGTCCTTGTCGGACGCCCGTAGTCCCGTATTGAATCGCCGAGGCTTCCTGCAAGGAGGCGAAACAACTGCCATCAATCTCGGTCGCGCAAACGACAGTTTGCGAACTAGTCGATTACGCCTGATTTGAAAGTTACGGTAGTCAAGCGTTTACATTGCCGATCGCTGGAGAATAAAGACGTTCGCGGCAACATTTTGAATGGTGTCTTGAAGCGGAAACCGACGCACGCGAGTAATGCCGTGATGTTGGCTCTCTAATATCATACACGATAACTTACGATGGGTTACGGAAAGTTTGAGCAAATTGTCGCAAATTAAAGTTACTTATTACGTTGTGAAACAAAGTTGAAAGGATTTTGGGAAACGCGCGTCGAGAATTCCATGCTTCAACCGAGGTGACGACTGTATTATTGCTACTATTGTTACGACCGAGGTACGGAATAAAGTGTTGTTTCTAGACTAACTATATTAATGTGAGAATATAATTAGCGTTTCATCAGTGATGCGACGTACACGGTATAATATTCAGTGTTAATTAATTATTCCGTATTAATTAACTTATTAAGCAATTGTTTATAGTTGATCGTAAATGCTTTTGATAATGGCGTTTCCGACAGGCGCAGACACGTGTGTGTGACGTGCGTTATGACATATTATATCACAGAGCATATCTGAAATAGACTCGATGGTTTTTACTATAAATTCGCGGTTTAATTTGCGAATTCGGATACCTCAGTACCGATAATTGTCAATTTTTCGATAACAGCAATGTTAATCACGAAGCAAAATAATTAATAACGTATAATACAATACATCACACGATGCGGGAGCAATCGGACTAATTGAAATGTGAAAATTTCGATAACCAAAAGACAAGTTCTGTTAAAAATATTTCTCGTGCACTTTAATAAGCAATCGCGTTTCCCAATGTTAGTTCGCATTTCGCAAAGTTTGAATCCTGTGGGATGAGAAAGCTGTCAACGTGTAAACGGAATTGCAACGTCACGGACAAGTGCACTGATAGAAAAAAAGATTGCAGTCACCACAATCTCACCATAATTTATAATCATTTTAGGAAACAACCACATTTTTATAATTCTTCCAACTACGTGAGTTATAATTAATATAAAAATGACATTCCTGACCATAATTATTTGACTATGCAATTATAGTTTCAAATACTAGATATTTTTCTGTCAATGTGGCGAGTTATTTTTGTCTTCTTCGCTTCAAACCCCATAATGAAACAAATAGCGCGGATCGAAGCGCTTCCCGTGTATCGAAGAATTTCTTCTTGACGGAGCGAACTCTAAAAGTAATTTGAATATCTCACTCGCGTTCTCCACGTATGCGTACGTTCCATCGACGTTCGCAAGCTGCCTCGTAATTTCAACCGCAAGCTTGGCTCACGCGATACGATTCATATACCGCGAAAACATCGCTCCAGGAAGCTTTATATCAACGATCTTCAAAGAGCGGAAAATAGCGCCTCCTCGTCCTCTCTACGTTACCGTATTTTCGTCCTGCTCTTCTTGTTTCATTCGCAGGAAGCTTCGCCCGGCGTACTTTTCGGCACACTTTATCGCGCGCCCCGCGCGGCGGTTCATGTATCCGCCATAACGGCGCGTAATTCTTTTCCTTTTTGACAAGGATCTCAGATAGTGGAAATGAGATTTTCAGAAGCAATTTGGAGCGAATTTGCCTGTAAAAGGGTCGAGATGGAGGACAGATTCAAGAACGAAGAGGCAGGTCACGTTTAGGAAAACACGTCTACGGCGATGATAACGACGGCGAAGAAGGCGAGGAAGAAAGACGACAGTGCAGAACAGGCTGCTTTATTATGGCTTCTATTCAGCGTCTTGGATTTTTCCGTCGAGTCAGCTTGCATTGTGCTTGCCGTAGTACCCGGGGATTTTCAGCGATCGGAACACCCGCGGAACCAATCCGTGGAAATCGTTCGCAACGCATAATGCGCGCTTCACCTATGCAAAGCGCGAGAGTATAACATTGGTCGTAGTGGCGTTAAAGTCATTTAAGCCGCATTAAGACTTAGGGATGTTCAAAGTAAGGCGAAATTGCGAGGCTGCTACTATATATCCCAGGTAATCCGACATATCTTTCGCCTTAATCCCCAAGACCGGGTACGTGCGGCGAACAACTTCCCCCCCATGAGAAAATTTTCGAGAAAATTGCGCTAACCGCAGAGTTCGATATGGAAGAAAATTCGCGTCGTGTATATACATACATGTATGTACTCGTAAATACATAAATCCGTCAGTAACAAACATATAAACCGCGTTATATGGAAATTGCAAAGCTACGTCGCGCAAATTACATGGGTAACAGTTTCGCAATCGAGTGAGCGAAATAAACCAAACGTTTTCAAATTAGCCGGAATAAAACCAAGTCAAGGGAGAATTTCTATTTTCTCGGCCTTTTGTCCGGCAAATAGCGCATTAAATCGCAACAATGGTGCTCGCACGGATCGCCGTGAATTTCACGTTACTCTATTGATGGCCTCTTTCAATGCTTCGAATGAAGATTGATCGACAAAGAATGACGTTGTGCAATGTACCATATCATGAATACAAAAAATTGTGTCAGTGCTATTAGCGATGTGTACCGTTTAGTTTTTACTTGTGCAGCTTCATTTTTTCGCTGCGATTTCTTACGCGCTTAAAATAAATATTAAAAATTGTAAATCGAAATTTTGAACTTCAACCTCGTTTTATAAAACTGTTTAATGTAAATGTAAAGAAAAAAAATCTACGTTTGCTCGTACATTTACCGCTGGAAAGTAACAGTTCGCTATATACCACAGACTTGCTAAATCTCCCATCCCTGTTTCCACCAATATAGGAGCTGCACGAATTTCCATAAAATTGGGAAACTGCGGCTGAAACGAGCGTAAAGTCTAGAACGTCGTATAAATTCAAACTTCCGCATTCCAAATTTCTTTCCGCCAGTATGAACCACATTCTGGCATATGTAAAGAGAAATTAAATTCTCGTGTGCAAGCAACTTTACGGTTTAATACAATGTAATTTTTTTAATTAAAAATATAAATACATCTAATCCATCAGCTAAAAGTGATTTGTGAAAAATCGAAATACGAATGCGACTTACGTTTCCAAATTTTTTAAAAATCAATAACGGATGTGTTAAAGAGGAAGCTAAAAATTTTCGAAGAACTCTCTTAATATTTTATGATCTATATATAATTAAAAACCTAGAAATTTCACGATGTACAATGCAAATGCATTTCGAGCCCTTAGAAAATTTCATTAACACGCATTCTAATTGTTTCTCGAAAAGCAAAGCATTATTTATTCGCATATTAATATTTTTCCTACCAGCGAATTCAGAAGAAACAATGAAAAAGTTCCCGAAAGAATCAGTGCCATGAAATGCCACGACAAGCTACCTTAGTTTAAGCAAGAAAGAGCACTTTGAAGCTGGCCTAGTACCATCACATTCGAGTGGGTGATTTCTCTCGGTTTTTCGCGACGACGGCAATCCAACGCTTCAATCGTTGGTAGTTCTACCTTTGAATTCTTTTAGTCGCCGACGTCATTCTTATATGTAAAGAGTCAATTATCTAAGTGCTAGTTAATTGCAATGCCATTCAATCCTTAAATTCAATTTAATTAAATTGATATGTACTACATATAATCTGAACACACTTAATCTCAACTCATTTAATCTAAATTATCTACCATAAATTGCGACTGATTTAATTAAAAAATTAAATTTTATATGTGATGCTTCTTTATTTAATAGCATTATTATTATGGCCATTAAACGCAATTTGGAAAATATAATTATTTATTTGCATTTGTATTTCTTTTAAAATTTAATTTGTTTAATAAGTAAAATATAGGGAAAAGAAGGAGAGAGAGGGAGAGGGAGAAAGCGTAGGTATTGTTGAAAGGAAATTCTTTTATCAAAGGCAACAATTTGGCATTTTCAGATTCAGGCCGAATGTCGCAGAAGAAACCATTCACAAAGTTAATTGCTTTTTTTCACGATTGCCAAAGAGATCTTCCACGAGAATCTAGCACCAATAAAAGCAATAAAAGCAATGCAGGCACTGGTAATTGCCGTCGGCGATAAAGACGGAATAACGATTGTTTCCAAGGTGCTTGCAGAAAAATACGCGGCGTGTATTCAGTATCCTGCAGCCTGCAGTAAACCGGGTATTTTTGAGTATTTCCCCAAGTATTCGTGGTACCGACACCTTGCAGAACTTTGCAATAGAAATAGTGTTGAGTTTCGAATGTAACAATAAAGCCGGCTCGGAGAAAACACAGCTTAAAACATTTTGTATGAACCACTATATACAATATTAATCATGTTGACTTTTGCATCATTCTTTAGCATAAACTAAATCTCGACTACATTTTTAATTACATTTAATGTCACTAATTTAACTAATGTATCAAGTTGAAACGCGGTAGATAATTAAAAATTGTACTGTGTTAAAAAAGATACCCGTTCGAAACATAACAAAAGTAAATTCTACCTTCCGCAGTACGTTGATATGACGAGAGTAAACAAGATACCTTGTAACGTTCTATGCACGTAGAGAATTTTCATAAAAACTCGCGCGATCTGTTTGAAAAAAAAATGTAATTATACATTTATCCATTAGCAAGTTTGCATATACGTAAAAACTTCAATATTTCATTCTATTTTTACATGCCAGAATATTTTATGTGAAAAATTCTTTTCGATATTTGCGAAAACCTTCATAATAAAAACACGGAACAATTTAAAATGGATTTTAAAATTACGTCGTGCAAAAAATTTTCGATAGTTCTTGCCATTAACCCTTTTATCACGATAAATATTAAAAACGTGGAAAAAAAAACAAAATACATCAAAGCTTTATAATTTCTGCACGCCAGTGAATTGCTCCTGTTGCGCAAACTTTCCCGACAAATTACAACGAAGCCGCAAAATAGCCGGCACGTCGTTGAATATTCAATTAGACGTGTTCTACCGTTATTCGAACAGAGAAGCGAAATGAGCAAACACCGAAGAAACAAT